ACAGTAGGCATGGGAAAGAGAAGTCAGCTCCCAGTTAGCTATCAAAGACTTCCAGTATTTCAACTATAGTAGGGGAAAAAAATGGTAAGACCAAGAAACGGAATAAATATTGTATGTTTGACGCACCCTTCACAGATCTCTTGGGTTTTTTTAACCTGTCAAACTTCTCTCATTGTCATTTCACACTTGGTTTCAACATAGCTACAAAGGTGGAGATGGTAATTCTGATGCTGTATTGATTCTGACACTCCAGGTCCTTGTCTCACACGGAGAAAAATGTTAACTTCCCAGGGACTGCCGCCAGAAGAGATGCAGGCAGTGACTTTTGTATCTCCCTCTGGTAAAATAAACCTGGTTTATGGCTCAGGGTCACTGCTGTGGGAAATGCAGAGAGGCTGGAGTGCTGTACAACACTACCCCCTTGTGATTTCTCTTGTTACAACACTTTCTAAACGCAGGTTTTCCAGATTGACCATTTTACAGGGAAGATTGCCTCTCTGAGCACGAATCCTACCATTAACAGCCAGTCTCCTCCGTGGGAACGGAACAGCACTGTTTGATACATGCACATACATTTCGGTTTTACTGAGTTCCTCTTTTCCTGTGCCTACAACTTTGTATAGTTTTTATATGACTCTATATTTTCTGCTTCAGGAACTTGGACAGACCTGGCATTTCCACCTCTGCCAGCACCTGTTGCATTTCCTCTCTGAATGCAGACTTCAGAGCAGAAATTTCAGACTTACATGTACATGTTTGCTATCATCTTGTGTTTATTTGAGTTGCAGCGGACCAAAGCCAAGCTGCTTTAGTTGAATGACACCATCTTTGCCCACATGTTCATGGCTGGGCTCTGAAGAGATTGTAGCTCAGCTAGTGCAGCCGGTGCAGCCCTGGGGAGATGCTAGTTCAGCTCTCGACCCAGCACAGGTGCGTGAGTACAGCACCCAAAGCACTAAAACTGCGGACATTCAGCAGTATCACAGAATCACAGAATGGTCGGGGTTGGAAGGGACCTCTGGGGGTCACCCAGCCCAACCCCCTGCCGAAGCAGGGTCACCCAGAGCAGGCTGCACAGCACGGCGTCCAGACGGGTCTGGAATATCTCCAGAGAAGGAGACTCCACAGCCTCCCAGGGCAGCCTGGGCCAGGGCTCCGTCACCCTCAGAGGGAAGAAGTTCTTCCTCATGTTCAGGTGGAGCTCCCTCTGCTTCAGTTTGTGCCTGTTGCCCCTTGTCCTGTTGCTGGGCACCACTGAAAAGAGCTTGGCCCCATCCTCCTGACACCCACCCTGCAGATATTTGTAAGCATTTGTAAGGTCCCCTCTCTTCCCCAAGCTAAACAAGCCCAGCTCCCTCAGCCTCTCCTCGTAGGAGAGATGCTCCAGTCCCCTCCTCATCCTCGTAGCCCTCCGCTGGACTCTCTCCAGTAGCTGCTCATCTTTCTTGAAGCGGGGAGCTCAGAACTGGATGCAGTACTCTGGATGGGGCCTCACCAGGGCAGAGGGGAAGGAGAACCTCCCTCGACCTGCTGGCCACACTCCTCTTGATGCACCCCAGGATCCCATTGGCCTTCTTGGCAACCAGGACACACTGCTGGCTCATGGTCAACTTGTCGTCCACGAGGACACCCAGTCCCTCTCTCTACAGAGCTGCTCTGCAGCAGGTCCGCCCCAAGCCTGTACTGTTGCATGTCAAACCCTCAGGTCAAACTACTTCCCCTTCTTTGAGAAAAAGAATGCTTCTTTGTTAAGCATTGACCTGCTCCTACTGTTTATTACCCAGATCAAGTACAACTCAATATTCTGTCTCCAGCATCCTTAGTTCTGGTGCAGCTGGGTTGTCACTTTTATTATGACAGGGAACACGGCATGTTTAGACGTCCATTTTCCACCAAGGTTTTCTCGAGCTCAGCTCTAGTGCAGAACAACTGTGAAATTCATGTGTAGGTACTTGCCTTCAATACTTAAAAAGCCGAAGGCCATCAACAGCTCCCTTTCTTTTCACAGGTAACAGAACAAGTTTCCTAAGTGTGTGCTGTTTTCTTAACAAATCAATTGACCATGGAAACCCCCAAGGTCACAGAGCTACTGAACAAAGAACCAGAAACAATGAGGTTTGTGTTCAAGCCCCATTCCTCCTTCAGAAGGTGTGGTTCGCAACACCATGAGGGTGCTGAGGGCTGCTGGAGGTTCAAAAAGCAGTGAGGGGAAATTTAAGGCATAGAACGCACCTAAAGGTATTAAAATGGTGCCACTCCTGGTTCAGAACATCCATTTAAAAAGCATTATGTTGTCATAATAAAGACAAGAAATAAGACAACTAAGAGGCCCCACATCTCAACAGTGGCCATGGGACAACTTCGACCTAACTTCAGAGAGTGGCAGCGGGGGTATCCCTCCAAGATGAATTAATTATGCTAAGTCCCTTTATTTAAGGGGATGATGGCAACTCCAAAGCACAATTCACCTGACCTGCTTTAGAACTCTGCTTCAGGATGAGCTGAATCCCACCACAGGAGTGCCTCTTCCCCTCCATTTACGTTAAGGGGAAGCAAGGGCACCGGCTCAGAGGTGTCTGCCCTACCCGTGTCTACCTTTGGTCAGACAGATCCTAGCTATGGACAATGAACTGAAAGATCAACATCAGAACTAGGACCTTTCTGAGTTTGGAAGTGGTTCAACAAGTAGTGGAACACAAAATGTTACCGGTGTGTTAGAGAGGACACAGGAGAGGCTTTTTTCCATGGTACCCGTAACCTCATTGCAGATAACACAGTGTTTTTACGGTAAATTAGATCATCTTCACCCTAACAACATTTGCTGGCACTGGCTTATCTTCTTAACACAGCTATCACCCTAATATATGGCTCAGACGTTCTCAGTCACGCTGCTGCAACATGGCAAAAGAGAACAGAATTTGGGCTGTCCCTACACTGACAAAACATTTGTTTGCTTTTTCTGTTTAAACTACCTGAGGACAGTAAACTTCACAGCGCTGCCAGTGTGCCGGAGCAGTTCGGCTCCAGCTCAGGCCCACAAATGTCCTTTGGTGCCTGAAAACACACACAGAAAAACCCATTAAACCCTTCAACAGAATTATGTATGTGAACACCTTTGTAGAGCAGACAGAATGGTCTAAAAACTGATCTGCAGAGCAACCGCAGGACACATACAGCCAACATGAACAGAGATACTACGCATTAATTTTTCTGCATGGACTCTTGGAAAAGAAACAATCCTAAAAGGATACAGAGACCTATTTAATCCTCAAAAAAATGAAGATTTGTCATTAACTACTTTCAATAAAAGCCTTATGATTCATTCACTTTCAAGCAGGTATTTTACTCTTTTCCTACTTTACTTCAGAACTCAGCAATCCATAAACAGAAGCTTGTAACCCCCCAGTCTATTTTCTTCCTAATTAAAGAATACTGTTAGGACATGTAGAGAAGTTGCTGGCTGTTCCTTTTAAGTTCAGACCTGTCACTTTCCTTGAAATATAACCGTAGCACATGGAAAAGAGCAAGTCTTCCAACAGCCCTGCAAACCTTCCACGTGACAAATGGAAGAACCCACTATTTCCCTGCATTTTGAGGGGCTTGTGGGTGTGTTTTAATAGTAACCTCACATCTAAAGGACTTGTTTGTTGCTGTGGTGTTCTTCAAACAAGGATTACTTAATGTGGAGCAGCAGCAGAGATCGCTTGAGACTATTTCTTTCAGCTTTGCCGAGTTTCCACCCTTATCAGCTGCGCAATGCAGCCCGAGGAGGCCTGCCTTTGCCTATCCAGACAAGGAATGTCATCCTCACACTTCTTTGGAAAGGAGCAACAACTCCCGCGCTCTTCCCCGGTCTGCAGCAGAGCTTCACCAAACCCTGCCGCCTCCCGGCCCCAGACCCCGCACGGCTGGAAGCCTCCGGGCCGGCAGCACCTGTGCCCAAGCAGGTTCGGGCTGACCGAACCAAAGCAAGCGCGAACACTAAATCGAGCGTCTCCTGGGGTGCGAGGGCAGGGCGAGCGGCGAAGGGAGACGTTCGAGGGCGGCGGTGCCGTCGCCAGAGGATTCACAGGCGAGGGGACACTGGGGACACAAGCCCAGGGCCCAGCAGGCCCGAGC